TGCTGAAACTAAAGTGAGATATATATGAGCTGTAAATGTTGAGATAAAGTGAAAAGGGCACAAGAAGAAATGTATTTGACATTTGGAGGTACAAGGGATCACCACCTGAATGTCATTTACAACAGAATATTCCCTGACCGGCAGGTTTGAATAAAGAACAGCTACTTGAAACTTCCCTGACCTAGATATTATAATTCCTATTTCTTAACACAAAGATACTTGGAGCCTTAGCAGGCACATGGAGTACATTTGGAATCTTACAAAAAACAATTTAAATTAAAAAAAAAAAAAATCAAGAGCATTCAAGCCCACTTCCATATACCTGAATATAATGAGATGCATAAAATTACCCAAATTAAAGTGTAATGGACTGGGGCCCACAACATGTGGAGTTATTACCAAATTAAGTATGTTCTATTACATGTTTCAGTTCTATTAAGTAACTTCATCTCTATTTAATTCCTCTAACTTACATAGTGAAAGTCATAAAAGGAAAGAAGATAACTGGCAAAGGGAAATTTCTACTTGTGTCTGATTCTAAACCCTGTGACCACAGAAACCAGGAACATGGTATACAAATTCCTGCTACCTTATTGATGCTTCTCTACAGCTATTTACAAACAGTAAGACAATGCAATAAGCATGTCTGACATTTGAAAAGACAATACAAGCAATAATTTTAAGGATCTTTTATGTTCTACATGTAATTGCTGCAGTCAAAGGTATCTGATTTATCTGTCACATGGAAAAATAGAATACATCATATAAAGTATAATTATTTTAAAACAGTGTAGTACAGCATAAGGAGCACAAAAGATCTATTTGTCACTCTTCCTAAGAGACCACGGCAGAAGTTTCATCAGTTATGTTTCATACCGCCTCCTTCTGCAGTTGCAGTTGTAGGCTAAAATGCAGGTCTGCATTTATGAATATGCTAAGCACAATAGCACTTAATAAAACATGTGGGAGTTTTTTAGTGTTTTTAGTTAGGCGATAGGTACCTTCCATGCAATTTAGTTAAATCTTGCCTTTGATTTACTTGACCTACAAAAACGTTCTTAAATACAAGAGTGGAAAAATATCCTTTTGTCAGCTTCTCTGGCATTGCAAGGTTCACTAAACCAATATAGGCACTAAACCAGGGCATCAAAATCCTTCAGGGGAATATTGGTTCTCCGAGGAACACCTGCAGTTGTTCCAGGCTTCCTTCATGCAGATGCCATCCCCAGACAGGTACATGTCACAGTACCCATTTGCCTGATGTCCCTTTTCCCCTTTCAGAAGGCTTGGTTTCCCTTCTATATGAATTCCAAACTTGTATAGAGAAAATACTACACATATAAAAAGACCCAGGAATGGCTGCATAGGGCTAGATGACCATAATGTTTATTTGGTGCAATATTGATGTTTACTACAGTTGATTTATGTCTTTATTACACTTTCCACCATTGCTACTAATGCTGACTCTTCATGGGAATTAACTAGTCTATAAAAGTAAATGTCACATACACAAGACCTAATGAGGCAGTTGCATCAATAGGCACAATAATGTAAGTGCTAGTATAGATAAGTTCCCTGTAAAGAAGATCTTCAGAAGTGTTAATGACTCAAAATTGACACCACAGATTCCCCGTTTAAACATTATTAGAGCAAAGGCATTGTCTGCATTTAAAATAAAATTTCACAGGCAAAAACCCAGCTAGCATAAACTGACTTCTTAAAGCTGATGTAGGCAACAATGAATAAAATATTAGCAGCTACACCACTGTTCTGACAGCTGCTATCACTGGGAATAATGTAATGGTGTGAACTTTCATGGAAAACGTTACCCTAGACAAAACCCTTATAGGAATGCTGTAACAGAGGACTCTTCCTCACAAAGATGTGGCTGCCCTGTCTTAGGTCCAGCAGCATAGGTGTAGTAGCAGACTCATTTTTAGTGGCTTCCTAACCTGCAAATTAGTACATTATAGGCAAGAGGCTCAGGGTTTTTTTCCCCCCTCACTTGATTAGCAATAGCCTATGTTGAACCTCTTGACTTTTGCTTTTACCAGCATTCATTAGTGCTGTGCCAATCCAGGGCAAGCATCCAATGCCTTGTGTATTTTGACTGTGACTTCTCTTACTGATTAAGCATAGGTATTGCTTTTCCTCTTCAACTGAAAAGGCCTGTAGCTGAAACACAGGACGTTTTGCCTCCAAAATCTAAATGCAACTAACTGTATCAGGGGCTTTAAAGACTGGTATATCTAGGGACAGGTGGAGAGACAGAGAAGTAGAACTGTAGATTATAAATGAAGATATGGTATTAGTTTCCACAAAGCACTAATGTGCAGCCTGAATCACATTCTTTCCTTTCACTAAAATACTATGTGCAATAGCAAAGCAATTTTGTTTACCTTCTTAAAAGTGTCCTCATGGCTTCCATGTCCGATAACACCCCTGGGTTCTACATTCCATCCTAACTGCTCCAGCACTTGCACCAGACTTCAGATGTTTCAGGACAGGTATCTTAAGTTTTTAAAACCACTGCATATCTCTTTGGCTGTTTATAAACTAAATATAATAATGGTTGTCCTACACACTCATCTAAGAATCTAACACAGTAATTCTCAGCCAGGGTGCTGCTATAACCTCAGGCACCTTGAGATGCTTTCAAGGGTGACACGGAGTGACATAAAATGTTAGCACTGTTAGATGTGCAAACACAATTCACAAGATAAACCCAGAGAATCCATGGTGTTAAAGACAATCTGACCTGTTGTGGTCTTTCTGAGTTCTTTGCAACAGAAAAATTGGTCTGTTATTTTTCTGTAATAAAATTAAAGAGTAAAAACTTAAGAGCTGGCACTTTCTGAAGGGAGCCTTGAGTCTAAAACCTCTTATCTAATAGAAAAGGACTATTCATTGATATTTGAATGGTATCTGGATTGGTGACGGATAGAAAACAACCATTTCTGCTTCATTAAAAAACAAAACAAAACCCCAACTCCTCCTCCTGACACCCCCTCTTCCCTCCCCTGCAAAAAGTTCTGATATGGAAAAAAAACCCAAGACCTTTAGATTTGTCCCCATTCCCTCCCCTCCGCCCAAGAAAATGGGTGGGAAGAAAATAGAAAATTAACTAAACAAGCCAACAGCCTGGCAATTTACTCACTTATCAAGCATGTAAGACACTCAAGTTCAACTCCTGTTCAGCTCAAATCTTTCTCTATCTCAATTTGATATGAAATAAAATACTGGTCATCCACAGGTAAAGCAGGACCTGAACGTAGGTCTCTTACATCCCAGGTGACTGCCTTAAACACTGTGTTATTTAAGGGTCTCACTTAACTAGAGACAGCTAATGTAACGGTATTTCTAACGACAACAACAAAGACACTAGAGGAAAAAGTTCCCACAAACCTCTACTAGCCATCATCACAACATTGCTTCTACCTTTTAACTGGACTCCTAGTTTATTTCACAACAGAGCACTATGCTCCCCCTCCAAAGAAGATGAGCATAACTTGGATTTTCATGCTTACTCCATGTCCCATCTCCAATCTGTTTCTATCTGAACGCATTATGGATTAGCATAAGAGCAAAACTGAGCAAAACCTTCTTGAACCATCATATGATTTAATCCTCCCCCAGGAGCAGTTAATGAACCTTCTTCAGTAGTGCCTTTGGGAATATGGTGCAAAAGATCACCATTCCCTGACAAGTAGAGAGTTAGCTGTGTGTTTGGAGCTGGGACTCTTGGAGCAAGGACGGGCCAGAGCTGCGCTCTACACAAGAGCGGGGTGTGGGGAAGCCACCCAGCACCCCTCTGGCAAGTGGAAGGCAGGGCCTTCAAGGTGCCATCCTGGCCTGGATTCTGCCCAATTCCCTTAGGGGAAACAATCCCTCTGGCTTCCCATTAGATTTATCCTTCCTGATCTCAGCGCCAAACCAATGCTAGGAGATTGGCTGCTGGTGAGTTATAGGATGCCGTAGCCATGGTAATGAGAAATTGCATCATGGTGCCCTGTGGTTGTAAAAAAGCAGTCTTGGGCATGAAAGTGCGCACCCCCCTACACACACATTCTCCCTTGCACACATCGCTTGCATACACTCAGTTGCTCACACACTCAGTTGCTTGCATGCTGTCTCTTGCACACTCAGCTTCTTGCACTGTTGCTTGCACACTCAGTTGCTTGCCAACTGTCAGTCAGTCAGTCACTTGCACGCACACTCAGTTCCTCACTAGTTGTTCAGTTACTTGCACTCACACTCTGTCCCTCACCAGTCACTTACACACTAGCTGCTTGCATTCACATTGTCCGTCACTAGTCACTCGCACACTAGTTGCTCGCATTCACTGTCCCTCACTAGTCACTTGCACACTAGTTGCTCGCACACTCAGTCACTCGCACACTATCAATTACACAGACTCAGTTGCTGACGTTGTCCATACAGGTTCCCTTTCGTTTCTCTTCCACTTCCCAACTCCCAGGCCCGCCGGCCGTCTGGCACGTGCCACCCCGAGGCCAGGCCCCCCTCCGCCCTATCTCAAAGAGCCAGGAACAGGCGGTGTCCCCAGCGGGGCTGGTGCAAGGTACGGATCCGGCCCGGCCCGGCCCGGCCCGGCCCAGCGGGGGCTCCGGCGCGCTCCGACTGCGGGCGGACGCCGCTCCCG